ACGTCGGAGAAGCCCGAGGCTAAGGTTGCTGAGCCCACCGTGTAACTGCACGTGGGCTCGAAGTCACATAAAAGTTTCGCAGATCTCAACCGCCGTAGGAGGAACCTGTTCAGGGGCTCGAAGTTCGCTTCTGCGCTTCGGGTCCCAGCAAATTAGTCGACTTGTGTCCTTCCGAAGGATGGCACAGGACGTTGACAGCCTTAGCACGGAGTGCAAGGTTGCAGCACGCACGGGCATCTTTCTCGCCGATCGCGCCAACAAGCTTGAGCCCGGGGTTTTCTGAATGTTTGGGCTTTTGTGTAGCACTTTGAGGGCTCAGGTAGACAGGCGGGCACATCAGCAAGCATCGAGGGCGTCCTTCATGAGTTGTCCTGACTGCAACGGCTCCATATCGTGCTCAGGCGCAGCAACAAATTGGGCCTGGACCTTTGACAGCGTTGCTGCTGCCTGGTAACGGCTTTAGCGCATGTCAGGGTAGCCACACTGACCTTGAAGCCTTTAGGCTTTAGCTCTTTGGACCTCCATCAAGCGACTTTGCTTGGTAATCTTCTGGACTGCCAATTGCAATGCAGTGCTCTGCTACAGCCCGGCTGCACCCGTTGCATGCTGTAGGTCTGAGAGCCTGAATCCCCAGCTGATTCGGTTTGGGACGTCTCTGCCGGAAATGACGGTGACATCGTGGGCAATCAGGTGACTTGGCAAACTTCCATTTTGTGACCTCAGCTTGCGCATTTTCGAGTGTTGGCATTTCGAACATCGTCGATCAGGCCCTCCAGCTTGAAGTTCCTTTTTTGGAACTTTCTGTTCATATGCGTCTTATTCTACGACTGCGCAGCGGCCTCGGAACAGCAGCGCATCATGGGTCAGCTGTGTCGGTCGACGATCTCATGGAGAGCGAGATGAAATTGCTGCAGACGACCAGACTTGGTCCGACATTCTTTTGCCCATGCCTCATGGTCCTCTCCGAGAGTTGCTTGTGTCATTCATTCAGGTGAGTTTTCCACTCTCGGCCTTCAACATCGAGCGCCTCGGCAATTCCATTACCACCTCATAGCACTCACAGCACGCCTACTTGCAGACGTCAGTCGCGCCTTCTTCCTGCGAGGCACCTCTTCGTCCTTCCCAATGTGGTTGCGGCCTGGGGCCCGGCTCAAACCTGACACCGAGGTGTGTCACCGTGCTACTTGTAGCTACGGTGAGTAGCAGCCTGTGGTAAGTAGTAAGTAGGCCCTTTGGATGTTCTTGCCATGGCCAGTCAAGCCCCGCATCCTTCACGATGAATGAGGCTTCATTCTGGACGGCGGACTTTATCCTGTCATTCTTTGTTGGGTACCGCGGCACGAAATTTCACCGTGCATAAGTGCATGTTCACTGTATGTAGGAGCCCTGCAGGTACGATACTGCAGATGGGCAAGTGGAAACACGCTTGGTCAAGGCGCATTTCCTGACCAAGATAGCTGTAAGCTCTTCGAGGCATCAGGAGGCAAGGATTTGGGTTCAAGTATGTTCAAGTTCATGCATGTCATCTCACTCACCCTCTCGCAATGCTTTATGACTTTACGAAAAAACTCTCTCCCTGCTCAGACGGCGAGCCGCTATGCCAGGCTCCGTTGCAGTGCCTGCCGTGTACTTGCTGCTTGTCACTAGCGACTGCTCATCGAGAGGTTCAAGAGGGGCCAAGACGTAGACAAGATGCATAAGTGGCGTTGCCACCATCTTCGCATTTCGGGGAGCATCACCACAGATTTCTTCCCACCAAAGAGCGCAACAAACTAAGGGCAGAGCACGTATCCAGGGCACGGCTGGTGTGTGTGTGTGTATAGTTCGTGCAGGATGTTGCGGGGTGGTAGCAGCCGGGAATCTGGCAACAGGACCTGGATGCTCCCAGATCTGGTTGTCATCGTGGTGGACTGGATAATGTCAGGGGCCACAGACACCGGCGATTTGGTGATACTTCACACATCCGGAATTGCCTGCCTTGTCGCCTCCTTGTTTCTTGGGCAAGGCTGGCTTCAGCACTTGGCTCCCAGCTTGAAGAGACGGGCACAAACCCGGCAGGCGAGCCCAGCCGGTCTCTCCTTGGAAGTCCATTTGTCACGCCTGGCTTTGTCCTGCGGCAGGCTTTGCGCGAATCGGAAAATCCGTTCGCTACATGAGGACAGCCCGATTCGTGGTTGGGGACCGTTTCAGCGAAAGGTGTACTCCGTCGGTTTCATAGCATGCGCGGTTCCACAGCAGTCCAAATATGTCCACATTTTTCTCCGAGTGCCGTGTTGATTCATGCTAAGCTAGGCCCTGCCGATCATTTCGCACTGCTTGAGCCTGTCAGCTCAAAGGGCGTGAGAACAGTATCGTTTGCTGCATGTTCAGATGAGTTCAATTGGATCCAACTTGGCCGGAAGGATCATGAGGGCTATGCGGCTGCTTCGTCTCCGAAGGTTTCAGGAGGCCACAGCGTCTTTTGAGAGAGACTAATGCGTATTGTGCCCACGCGGAATCTTCAGTTTTCTCGCCTCTTGAGCGAACCAGCAAAATCAGTCAGAGAGTTGCTGCCGAAAACGAAAGACACCCAGAAGAACACATGAATGGAGTTCCAGTGGAGTTCCTTGTTGTATTTCGTGCCAGGATATTGTCCGCAGTAGCATGTCAATGGGTAAGCTTGTAGTATCGGTGTGTAAACGCCGAGCACCAGTAGTTGCACAGTCAGTACTCCAAGCGACTGCACTGATGCGTCCATCAAACTCAGATGAATAACAATGTTCACAGACGTGAGGATGATGATGGTATTCCTGGATTCATTGTGATTCAGAATGCTGGCACGGGCCGACCATATTTCTCGAACACGGTGCGTACTCGTTGCACACGTATGGACGTATAGGTGATACTGTTGGTATTACGAACTCCCACGGCAGATGGTTCTTCCAGAACAGCACAAGGAGAAGAAGGTTCATCACAGTATCAGGTTCAATCCTCCGCGGCCTTTCATGGTAATTATGACGAAGGCTAGCCTTTCTGTCGCTTGGCATTGCAAGGCCCTGCATCAATTTGACGAGCCGGGGCCACAACAAGAACACTCACGAAGACGTGCATGGTTCAGTCGGAGTTTTGATCATTCTGCGATGTGGGCTCTGCTTGTCAGCAAGGTTCATAAACATTCAGTACTTCTCCATCATCCAAAAGCTCATCATGCTTGAGCCCCAGTATTCACACTGGTTGTTCCTGCTTTTTGGCCGTGGAGCGCCATGCACTGTAAAATGATCAGATGTGACAAAGTTTCAGCCCGTCAGAGTTAGACTCGGTTAGACCAGAAGCATCAGATGACGATGATCCAGCTGTTCATGGTGCCTTGCAGCATTCTGCAGCATTCATCAGCTGTCATTGTATGGACCACATTGCCAGGAATATGGTGTGGATCCTGCTGTTGCCACACGGCTTAAACCAGCTGGTGTGGGGTTGCAGTCGATGCTGCTCGGTAGATGCAATGCGCATTGGGAAATCTCGCAAGTCGCATCGGTTGTGTTGCTGAGCCCAGGGATCGTCGGCATTCAAGCTTCGTGCTGCTAAGATCCCACTTCATCGGTTGCGGCTGGTATGCCATTGGTATGGAGATGCTCGACGAGAATGTGATCGAGGCTCGCGATCAGGGAAGCATGTTCGAGGCACACATTTGCTTTCCAACTGAAACATGTCCGGTAGATTCGCTGGATGTCAGCTCAGCCGCGTTTTCCCGCAATGTTTTAGAAGCATGAGACCTGAGAGCATTTGAGAGCTGCTGGAGGCATCCTGGGTATCGGCCAATGGCCTGGTGGGAGAGCAGCTGATGTACAAGTGACCCGAGACTCGCATTTCCCCTTCGCTTTCCCGCTTTGGGGCCGGGCATTTGGACACTCCTAAGCCATGGCTGGTGCAGGCAAGTTGCATACAGATCTTTGTGGTTTCTTCAGTTTGCACAGGTATTTGACGTCCTTGCACTGGTCGATCACACAGTGGCGCTGCTGCAAGAGAGAAGCCTTGTGTGAAGCCGCAGATGCTTCTTTGCGATTTGGCAGACTAGGCCAGTTAGCACCCATCCGGGAAACAGATGAAGGGACGATGGTTGATTTGCCACAACAAGAAAGTCACGCTGTGTTGTGAATTCGTTTCAAGGGCTCAACCCGATTAAGAGAGTGTCAGTAAGAGGGAGGCAGCTCATAACACACTGCACCGATCAAGATCTAGTGACTCTTGTCACAAGGATTCAAGCAAGTTCGTGTCGGGGAGGCACATCAGATGCACTCTGGCGCCATTCGAGAGTGACTTATTCATATCAGGTTCACACCCGGGTCGATGAATGTCCAACCCGTGAACAGTGCGGGCCTCAACTCCGCAGCGCAACCAAGAGCTTGTGCTTTCTCGCAGAAAATCACGAAAGCTCGCGTAGCAGAGCTTGGGTTTAGTCTTGCTTTTAGCAGGGAGGCAGT